GACTGGAAAAGAGGGGGGCCATAAAGCTCATTTTAGACCAATAATCCCGGAAGACGGTTGAGAGGGCAGAGGCTTGTGGCAATCTCAAGGGCAATATACGCGTTCAGCTACCGGAAGTGTGATGTCTGGTGTACCGTTTTCACGAAGACGAGGGTTGATCCACTGCAGTAGTGTGCTGCGCAACTTACGTGTGAAGAACAGCGCAAATAGACCCAGTATGCCTTTTTCCCGGAATGCACGCATAGCCTTCTCCTCTTGGAGCAAGGTGATACCACCTTCAGCCTCCAGCCCATCAATGTAGCGCTGGCCAACTCGGAGAATGTCTGGGTCGACTCGAGGACCGATCATCGTGCCGCCGACTGCGCCATCATCCCTACCGACGCATTCAGCATCGTCGCCTTTGCTTTCTTCTTCGCTGTCGTTTTCATTTCCTTGTGAACCGTGGCGATCGTTCCCTTCAGGTTCCCATTCTGAAAGCAATAACTCGATGTCCATGTTACTCGTCAAGTCAGATCTTGAAATGCAAGAATGATTCTGATCGCGCAAGGGGGGAAGGACGTCGCCCACCCTGGTCGTACCTTCGCGACACGTCTGATTGGCCTTCTAAGAGGTCCCGTGAGGGCTTCTGCCCGACTTGGCATCCCAACGTGACCTTTCGCATACTATTTTGCTCCAATAGATGCTCGTGATTTGCATTTTTAGAGGCCCTCGGAGGGTCTCTAAAACCTCAGGGCTTAAAGGGTTAATTGACGACACGTTGATCTCCACGTTGCAGTCGAGATGCCTTGGACCATCTGCCCAGGTCACACCGAGCGCTTCACGCGGCTTGACGACAGGCACCACGATTTGTGAAATTCAACGTTGCGTACGTGGTATTGCACACGGTTTAACAAAGAATGTTTCTTCTGTCTCAACAAACAGCACATGTCGATAGATACTATTGATACCGAAAGCGCTAAGAGAAAACATGCTGCTTGGAGCTGACGCTTCTTCAGCCCATTTATCGGCTGGTTATTCAGTCGAAACAAGTGAATACCGTCACGCCCGCGCGACGCGCGTTGCGCGGCGCGTGTATCACTGACTGATACACCGTAAGCAATCATCGTCAAGGTCCATTCGAAGCTGTAACTTACGTCCGCCAAACCATTTGCTTCTGCATCAACTGGTAATTAAGAAGTCACTATTGGTCCCGGCCGTCAACTTGATCATCTGGTGGGCCCTCGAACGGCTCTTTGTTCAACTCACACCCTCAGACAATTCCTGTGCTTTGCATGGGGTGCCTGCTGTTCGACCACATGAAGGGATCACAAGTGTTTTTGCCTTCCCAGTCAAGGGCGAAACATGAAATTCACGTTGCCTGAAAACGCCTTCCCCGAGTTAATTCTATCGAAGGAACAGCAGCAAGAACTGATTGACGAAGCTGAGACGGTGGTGCGAGATACTCTCGCTGCAAATGAAGCCTTCCGCGCTGATGGGGCCACGTTCAAAGACCCGAGATGGAAATTGGTCCGCGCAAAAGACGGACTAAATGTGTATCATCATCAACTAGCACGACCAAAAAGCTCTCGGATGTTTAGACGCCCGCGGTTTCAGAGCTCCTTCTCGCCCGTCATCTTGAGCGAATCTCACGCTACTGATCCCACTGGGGCCAGTAGCTGCGATATCGAGGTATCTTCGTCAGAATGTGGGGAGGAAATGCGCCGTCCTGCGGGGTTCCAGATGATACTTCATGGAGCTGTGGACGGCAAGTTGGATGACGCGATGTTCGGGACCTTCGCCGCCACAAATCAGGCCTGGATGTGGCGTAGCTCCCATATCAACGACCGTCTTGACGACGCGCGTGTACTGGCGACTATAAGAGGACCTACAAAGGAAGACCCATTCCGGTTTCTAGGCGTGAAATGGTTCGTCAAAGAGCGTCCTGCTGTCCTGACGGGTCTAGTTCAACAGCGAGACTACCTCATTCTCGAGGCCACGGGGCTTACTGTGGACTCTCAGGGCGAAAAAGTGGGCTACTACCTCATGCATTCCATCAAACTGCCTCGAATGGTCCCGGAATTAAACGAATTGGGTCTTCTTCGAGGAGTTTTGAGTCTTTGTTTCATCGATCGTCAGCGTGGGAAAAATAAGGTTGAAAAGTACTGTCGCAGTTTCAGCGACCCTCGAGGCAAAATCATTGATCGAGTGGCTGTTGCCGTCACCGCCGAGTCGCTGATCTGTGCTGCCAGTATCGTCGACTATGCGTATATCAAGAAGCTGACGTGGCTGATGAGGCACAAAGGCGGTCAAAGTGCGTCGAATGAGCATCAGATTCGACGTGATTCTGGACCGCGACCCAAATGTTGCGAAAGCTGTGGCAAAAGTTTTGCCAAATTTTCATTTTCGAGCGCTGGAATGGGTGCAGATTGCCAAATTTGTCGCCGCGTGGTGTGCAGTAAGTGCAGCGTCGTCAAGAAAATGACAGTAGATGTGTCGAACACTGGCGCAGTGAAACAATGCGCACTACGGTTCTGTCTCGAGTGTCTACATGAAGCAAAGGAGCTGTAACGGGGTACGTAGCACTAAGTGTACCCTGGTTACATGAAGTGTGACACTTCATACTTCAGGAGTATGACATGTCATACTCCGGGATAAGTGGTACAAGGTACCAAGGTCATTCAAAACCAACCATTGGTTTTATGACATTGCATTTCTATAGGTAACTGATAGTTTGTATTAACCTCAAACTTAACCTACCTATAAATATACTCAGTTTACAATCTACCTTATTTAGGTCACTTCGCTCTCTTTAATTAAAGAGGGGACCTGTGAACTGCCGTTCACTGAGAGTTTGTATACTCTCGGAAGATAACTTCCTCTAGCGCAAGGTGCTGTGTGACCCCGTCACACTTGGTAGCACTTGTAGTCAATCCACGCCATCGCGGGTAGACTACCTGAACCTCCGAAGTTCGTTGCCATGGATAGGAACGACTTCTCCCATATGAACGACTCTCAGTTCGAGTCGGTTCGGAAGATGGCAGGCATCTTCGGGATGGAGGCCCTGCAGAGCCTGGTGGTATCAACACCGGCTGAGCAGCTCGAGCGCGTCAATGCATTCGACGCGTACGAGCAGGGCCTCATCGCGCATGTGCGGGAGAACCTGCAGGCTCCGGCGGCGGAAGCAAACCCGCCTCACCCGAAGCCAAT